GTAAGTGTGGTGCGGTCCCGAAAGAAAGAGCGAGACGCTCCAGAGTCAAGAGTGAAGGTGTGGGAGGCCGAAGCCGACGTAGTACCTGAGAGCGCAGACGCACTAGTACCTGAGAGAGCAGTCTCACGAGCACCTGAGAGCACAGACGCACTGGCACCTAGAGCAGAAGCCTCACCGGCACCTGGAGCAGCAGTACCAATGCCCGGGTCGGGCGGGAAACACCGGTAACAGTCACCTTCCTCACTAATGGTCACAGCATACATGGCAGCAAGGATAGCATCAAAATCAAGATCAAAGATAGCTACACCAGCCCTAGACAGCTCTCCCCAGCGGGGGATCTCCGCGGCCTCCGGGAACTGCTGACGCCAAGCGTCCGTCAGGCGGCCAAAGCAGCGCTGGGCGGAGTGGGCACCCCCACACTGCTCTCCAGTGCGGTCGCCAGTGCGGAGAACGTAGGTGCAGGGACCAAAACCCCCACCGCGCTGACGCTGCGTGTACCACTCACGGAGCTGCTGAGGGGTGGGGACGTCGCGAGATCGCTGCTGCTGCTGCTGCTGCTGGCGCTGACCGCCACCAGTGCCGCTCCGCTGCGAAGCTCCACTCCGACCACCTCCACCTCCGCCACCCCCGCCTCCGCCTCCACCGCCCCCGCCTCCACTGCCACCGCCGCCACCTCCGCCACCTCCGTTACCACCGCCACCGCCGCCGCCACTCCCGCCTCCACTGCCGCCACTAGCACCCCCACCCCCGCTACCACCTCCACTGCCACCCCCACTCCCTCCGCCGCCTCCACCTCCACCGCCACCGCCCCCACTGGCCCCACCCGCTCCCTTGCCCCCCTTGCCCTTGCCAGAGCGGCGTCTCCCGCTAGGGGCAGACGCCGCACCGACCGACTCAAGACCAACGAGGTCGGCCGCAGCGGCAGAGGCGACAGAGGGCAGGAGAGGGGAAGGAGAACACCCCTCAAAGATGGGGGCGCGGGGGTCACCTCGAGAGGCTCCTACAGCAACTATGCTCTTCTCTGCTGCAAGGAGGGCCTTCTCGAGGCTGTCGACTGTGAGGGTGGTGGGACAGACCGCGAGGAAGTGGTCCCGGACTACACGAAGGGAGTCAGGGAGGCGAGTGACTAAGAAGTAGAGAGTGATGTACATGGGGGGGGGGTTCTTGGCGCAGAAGTCAGCAGGAAGCGCAGCGCGGTAGCGAGTGTCACTAGTGCGGAGGTGCGTGATGAGATCAGCGACAGTGGGAAAGGCGGCAAGGTCAGGGAAGAGGAAGGGGAGCATGAGGCGGCTCAGTGCAGCAGTGGCAGGGGAGGAGTAGCGCGCAACTACAGCGTCGTACAAGGTCTGAGCACTCTTGTACTGGCTAAAGTGCGCGCGCTCAGCTGTAGGCAGGTGGCGACGCACAGCAAGACGTGCAGCAGCATCGCGCGTGGCCCACTGAGAGCGAACAGTAGCGTCAGCATCAGCAGCAGGGGCAGGGACGGCGCCAGAGGTGAGGTCAAAGAGAGACAGACCGTCGGCCCTGTCGCACTGTAAAAACAGCTGCAGGTCGTCGAGCCAGACCTCAAAGTCAATGGCTCGACCCTCAGCGTCAAAAGCGAGGACACTGGGTGTAGCCATGACGACGACAGTAGAGCAGTGCAAGCAGTAGGGGAAGGGTACGCAGTGACAGCAGTGCAGTGCTCACCGGGCAGGGCAGGTCGGGCGGCTCGGGAGGAAGGTCGCCTGGCGAAACGGCCGCTAGGCTGCTGGGCGGCTCGGCTCCCGGGCGGCTCGGCTGCTGTTGGGCGGCTCGGCTGCTGCTGGGCGGCTCGGCGGCTGCTGGGCGGCTCAGCGGCTCCGGGCGGCGCGGCTGCTGCTGGGCGGCTCGGCGGCTCCGGGCGGCTCGGCTGCTGCTGGGCGGCTCGGCGGCTCTTGGGCGGCTCGGCTGCTCCGGGCGGCTCGGCTGCTGCAGGTGGGCGGCTCGGCTGCTGCAGTCGTGCGGCGCGAGAGCAAGGGGCGGCGGGGCCGTTAGTGCTGGGGCGGCGGGGCCGCGAGACCAGGGGCGGCGGGGCCGCGTAACAGGGGCGGCGGGGCCGGGAGCGCTGGGGCGGCGGGGCCACGAGATCAGGGGCGGCGGGGCCGTGAGCGCTGGGGCGGCGGGGCCGCGTATCAGGGGCGGCGGGGCCAGGTGCTGGGGCGGCGGGGCCGCGTATCAGGGGCGGCGAGGCCAGGAGCGTTGGGGTGGCGGGGCCGCGAGATCAGGGACGGCGGGGGTCGCGAGTGCTTGGGCGGCGGGGCCGCGTATCAGGGGCGGCGGGGCCGGGAGCGCTCGGGCGGCGGGGCCGCGAGATCAGGGACGGCGGGGGCCGCGAGCGCTTGGGCGGCGGGGCCGCGAGAGAAGAGGCGGCGGGGCCGCGTTCACTGGGTGGCGGGGCCGCGAGGGTAAGGCCGGCCGCTAGGGCGGCTCGGGGAAGGAGTGGCCCGAGGCGCGACTCGGGATGAGTGCGCTTCGGGCAGGAAAAAAAAAATTCGAGTCGTGGGCCCTAGGCACAGTTCCCACAGGGGAACCTGCTCTATACCATGTGGAAAACTGAACGAGAATGAATGAACTATGAATGAAGTGAGTACAAATATGAAACCCTAATTGGGTTGTACCCCCTATGGGATATCCCACTATAGCCTACACAAATAAGTAAGCTATAATGTTCTGACATCGTATCCGTTTCCAAATGGATATATTTTTTTTCTTATGCGTTTCCGATCGGGTATGTGATATGTATCACCCATAATATATTATGTTTTGTTACGTACTTACGATTTGATACGCCCAAACATAATTCCAGAAGAAGGCAACGCGCACGTTGTAGTAGACGGCGGTCATAACCCTCAATACAGAAAATGAGCAAAAAAACTGGTTTGTTTTTAGTAATTTTAGTTTACTCATGGTTCGGATTGTTCGCCGAGTCGTTTGGTCAGCTCTGGGTTGAAATCCTACGGTCGAGATTTTCCGGCCCTACTTAGATCACCCCTCTGGCACTGTTTGGCCCTAATATGATCTTTTCCCGAATTCATATTGATAGTTACGCTGAAGTAGTTTCGAGAGTGCGGAGATGTGCGGCACAGATTAGATTTCCTTTTTGATATAGAAGTGAAACGACGCAGTTCGGCAGCCACGGAAGAAGTACGTAAATTTTTGTTTCTCTCATCTTCTATGAAGCTTTTATTCGCATTATCGAGGGCTGTACAGTGCGGGTTGTAGGGTTAACATTTCGGAGATCGAAGCGCAGGTGTTTATCAGCAGCGACGTGATCACTTCCAAAATCTGATTCCGCGCCGTCTTCTGTCATTATTCTCCCCCCTTGGCGGAAAGCTTCCGCCCTAGTGAGACAGTAGAAGTCTCACAAAACAAGAACCAACTTTTCGATTCCACCTGGGTTCACTGTTCACGGGACAGCATTGCACCCTACGAAGGAAAGTGCTACTCCATAAAAATATATTTTTTTTTTTCCTTCTCGGCGAACCCTTTTGTTGCCGCTACAGTGCAAAGGATGAAGCGAATTTGAGGCCAAATGTGCCTCTCTCCTGCGGCGATTTTTCATACCTCCCCCCTCCATCCTCCGCCAGCTCGCAGATGGCGCAGGTTATCCGCAATTCGCGGAATACAGGGTAACGAATGTTGACCTTGGGTTGACGCCCGCCTTACCTTCCACACATCTTCCCAACATTTTTTCCCCCTGGCTGCCGAACTGGACCGCATTCAGAGTTACGCTAAAGTAGCTTTGACATCTTGAGATGTGCGGCACAGATTCGTCGTCAAATTTCCCCGATGTGTCCCGAGCCGGAAAGCAGCTTCAGTGCAGGTTTGCCAGGGGTAGGTCTGTTCAAACCAATTGACGGTACACTTCACAGAGCTCCTTCAAACCTGCTTTGCCGTAAGTTTGAAAAGGGTGTTTAGTTTTATTGGTAGGCCTAATGTAGCTTTCTTTCTTTTGAGGTACTTTTATCCCAACTTGCGCACACTTTCTGCTTATCCACTTCTGAGGTGGAAGAGTTTTTGTGCTAAAACAGAATTCGGCTTCTCCGTACATCACGCAAGCACTGTTTTCATCGGCTGTCTTCTGCCAGCAAGCACAAAACTAAACTCTCTCGGATGGCAAGCTTTCAAGGGCATCACCCCTAAACACCACGCGACAAGGTGTTTAGGGTTGATGCCCTTCATTAACATGCCAGCCAAGAGGGATTTAGTGTTGGCATCAACCCTAAAAACTTAGTCGCAAGGTGTTTCGGGTTGATGCCCCTTATCATTTGCCAGCCGAGAGGGATTTAGTTTAGTCCGGATAAAAAAACAAAACATTGTCGCGCACCTTTTGCCTGAGTAGCAACAGAGACGGCTTCCGAGGTGACACGTGGTTAAAGTCTTCTGTGTGGGCCGTGATGCCTAGGAAACTGTGTGCAGGTAGTGACGAAGGTACCTACAAAGCGCAGGTTCGAAAGTCTTTCTTCCGCAGTAACTAAAAACCTGTTTGAAAAGTTCGATTTTTTGGGATGATGGCATGTTGTTGCCAGGCTGGCATGTCCTGCGCGACATGGGACTCAACGGCTCCGCACCACTGGGTCACAGGGGCTGTCACTCGCCCAGAAAGCTAGACTCGGAGAGTCGCCCAGGTCATGCCAGTCGCCAGAGGCCGCCGGGCGACTGGCAGTCGACGGCGATGGCGAAAAATCGTGGGATATATTCCACGCTCAGCCTGACTGAGTTCCTAGGAGAGCCTTCCGTCCAACCTCCGAGGAGCCTCCAAGTACTGCTAGCAGCAGCACGGCAGGGCCCAAGCCATAGCCTCCTTCCTGAGGAAGCGCCGGTACCGTGCCTCCTGCTGTTTGGCCCCTCTTGTCGCAGATTGTGCAGCCGCCTTACTGGCTTCTGCTCTTACAATGGCGTCTACCACCCTCGCTCCTGCTGCGCCTGCTTCTGCTGCTGCGGCTGCGGCTGCTGCCACAACCGCTGGGGCGACTGCGATGATGATCCAGCAAGGCGAGCCTTCTGGAGCAAGAAAGCTCTCGGGCTACCTCCGAAAGGTGGGGGGGAATCCAAGCTGGTCTGGGAAATACCAGGGGCCACGTGTTCAGTCCTCGCCAGTGTATTCTCTAGTAACAGGGCCTGATTCTTCGCCACTTCGCGGACTTGAATGTCGCGCGCGCACCAAGAGCTTCGATAGAGATAGCACTGCTGCTACTGCTGCTGCTGCCACATCCGCGGGGGCTACTGCGGTGCTCGAGCAGGAGGTGCTTTTTGAGACGTCCCAAAAGGTGCTCCAGCAGCAGGACGTGCCGCGGCAGCAGCAGCAGGAGGAGGGGCGGGCGTGCGGGGTGGGCATCCTGCCGTTCCTAGAGGGAAAGCACGTGCTCATCACGGGCGCGACGGGCTTCATTGGGAAAGGTGCGGCTTCTGGTGGTCACGGTGTGGTCACGGGCTTCATTGGGGTGCTTGCTCGTGGTAGGTGTCCACACGGCGATACTCCGTTTTGGTCCTTGGAACCTCTTTTCTCTTTCCCCCCCTTCTCTCCCCACGTCTTCTCGGCCTTTCCCCCGACAGTATTGGGGGGTAATTTTGAGAATTCTCTAACATACGTCCTCTCTCTTTCCCCCCCTTCTCTCCCCACGTCTTCCCTTCCCCACGTCTTCCCTTCCCCCCGGCAGTGTTGGTGGAGAAGATACTGCGCGAGCAGCCGCGCGTGGGGCAGCTGTATCTTCTCATCCAACCCACAGCCCGCGCCACCGCAGCGCATCGCCTCACGCAACAGGTGCGTGCGCTGCTTGCTGCTTGCCGTGCTCTCAGGTTGGTTGCTGTTCCCGCCTTGCTGTTCCCTACCCCCGCGCCCCCACAACTAGAGCCCATTCCCTCGCCCCTGTTTCCCGCATCTGCGGCGGCAGCACACAACATATCCCTCCCTCTCCTCCTGCATTCCCCCTACCCAGGTCGTCCCGTCGCCCGTGTTCTCGCTGCTGCGCGAGCGGCATGGGGAGGGGTACGGGGCGTTCATGGCGGGCAAGCTGACGGCCGTGCAGGGCAACGTGGGGGAGGACGGGCTGGGACTGGCTGCCCACGCCGCTGCTGCTCTGCATGACTCGGTCGATCTGATCTTCAACTTCGCCGCCACCGTTGACTTTGAAGCCGAGTATGTATGTGCCGCGCATATGCATGTGCATCTGCATCCCATTCAATGGAAGCTCGTTTCAAGGCTGCGCGTTGAATACAGCCTTGATTCTGCATGTTGACAGCTGCGCGTGTAACCAGATGACTGCTGCGTCGACTCGACCCAAAAGCTTGTTAGAAGGCCATTGACTTGTCAGTGAGCGCGCGATCTCTGATGGGTTGGGTGATGAGCTGCTATCATCCGGAAAATGTATGTTGATCATCCAAACCATGTGTTGCATCACGTCGCGTCAGGAGTGTCGCATCCCAATGCCCTGTAAATTTGCTGTCCTCTTGAACCTGCCACGTGTCCTGTTCGACCTGCCACGTGTCCTGTTCAACCTGCCACGTGTCCTTCTGCGTGTCAGGTATGACGTGGCACTCAATATCAACACCATGGGCCCGCGGCGGGTGCTAGCCTTCGCCAAGAAGTGCCGGAGGCTTCAATTGCTGGTGCACGTGTCCACTGGTGAGCCGCATTTGCATTCGCATCTGCATCTCCGACCGGCTCACATGTACCTCTCTGGCTCGCATGTGCATCTCTGACTGAATCGGTGTCATGCAGTGTCAGTGTGTATGTCACTGTAACATTGTTGCACACTGCCACAAGTACCGCCCGCCCTCTCTCTCCTCTCCCTCTCGCCCTCCTCCTTTAATTCCCCTCGCAGCCTATGTGAACGGGCAGCGCGAGGGGAGATGCATGGAGCGCCCCTTCTCTCCGGGCGACAGCATTGCTGCTGAGATGCTCGCCTGCTCTCCCACCCCCTCCGCCACCACTGCTGTCGCTGCTGCTGCTGCTGCTGTTGCTGCTACTTCCCCTGCTGCTGCTGCTGCTGCTTCTTCTGCTGCAGCTGCTGATTTTGCTGCTGCTGCTGCTGCTGCTGCTACGGCTGCCACCACTGCTGCTGCCGCTGCTGCCACGTCCCCTGCGGCGACCTCGCAAGTCCCTGTGCTGGACCTGGATGAGGAGGTCGCACTGGCGTTGAGGGAGCGAGCGGCGGTGGAGGCAGGGGCCAAGGCGAGAGGGGCGAGTGCAGAGGAAGTGGCAGCGGCGGTGGAGGCGCACATGTCCGCCCTGGGTGCCGACAGGTGGGTGGGGGTGTGTGCGCTTTTGAGAATTCTCATAAGTGACTTACAGTGAGGGAAGTGTTGGGTGCGCCTGGTCCTTGCACACTTTCACTTCCCTTCCATTCTCGTCCCTGTTCCATACCGTGCTGCTCCATCTCTCTCCTCACCTTCCGGCTCTTACTTGCACCTCTTTCCCCTTCTCCGCCTGCTTTCGTCCCTGCTTTTCCTCCTCTGCTCCCCCCTCCCCCTACCCCAGGGCGCGTACCTTTGGGTGGCAGGACGCGTACACGCTGTGCAAGGCAATGGGGGAGATGGCGCTGGTGGAGCAGCAAGAGGGGGCGGAAGGGGAGGGGGAGGTGGGGGGGAAGGCTGGGGGAGAAGCGCGTGTGCCGGTGGTGGTGGTGCGGCCCAGCATAGTGGAGAGTGCACTACACGAGCCCATGCCTGGATGGATCGAAGGCTTTCGGTGAGTGAGGGTGCCATGCCACGAGCCCATGACACGAGCCCATGCCACGAGCCCATGCCACGAGCCCATGCCATGCCACCACATTGTGTGTCAGTCCTCACCTCGCGCTGTCTGCTCGCTTGCGTCAGGCACATCCCCCAAGCATTCCGTTGTACCTTTCCCCCTCACTCACTCTGGTCCTTTCCTTGGCACCGGCCCTTCTCACTTGTGCCTTTTGTGTTGGTGTTGTGCAATCATTTATGTGCCTTTTGAGGTGCCTCACAAGTCTTGTGCAAGCACCAGTGTGTGTGCCACATGCCATTGTCTCTCATGGCAAGCAGCAAGCTTTTCACTTGAAACACTCCCACTTGTCTTCTCCCTTCCGTTGCGCCTCCCCGTCTCACGCTCTTATCACACTCCTCCCAATCTTCACACTCTCGTCTGTTGCGTGGTGCCAATCACAACCGGCCCACAATACCAGGGTGGCGGATCCAGTGCTGATGGCGTTTGCCAAGGGGGAGATAATGGGCTTCCACGCTCCGCCACACGGCATCTGCGACATTGTCAGTCACACCACCGCCTTGCCTCGCCTCGCCTCCTCCCTTCCACCGCCTCGCCTCGCCTCCTCCCTTCCACCTCCTCGCTCGTCCCTCCCCGTGGCTTATTGCATTCTTAACAAATCTTGTTGCCATTTCTTACCTTTTCCCCTTCTTATCCCCCCTTTCTTCTCCTTCCCCCTCCCCCTCCCCCGCAACACCTTCCCCCGTCCCCCTCCTCCTGGCCCCCTCTTTTAGATCTGTTGCATTGTTAGCCCGTCTTACACTTCCTCTTCCCCTCTTGATTCTCTATATTCTGTCTGATCTGCCTATGAACCACATGCCACATGTGTGGGCAGCAGCAAGCAAACCCTCTCTACTGCTGCTTTCTGTTTGTCCCGACCCGACTGTTTCCCACATTCAGATTCCAGTGGACCTACTAGCCAACGCTATCCTTGCCATTGCTGCCAGCAATGCAAAGCCACCACGGAGTGCCATTCGACCCACTTCCAAGCACCATCTGCCCCCTGTCTACCATGTGACGTCTTCGGATGCTAACCCGCTGTGCTTCAACGAACTGTTTGCTGCCACCACCAAGCATTTTGCTGCCAATCCCATGAAGCGGAAGGATGGGACTGCAATCTCTGTGTCCCGTATGATAGCCTTTCCATGGCCGGTGCTCTTCATGGCTGCTATTTGGTTTCAGTATGAACTGCCCAGGCTTGTGAGTAACGTCTCCTCTTGCCCATCCTTGGTTTTTTTTGTATTGGCCCTTTTTTCCCCTCCTCACCTCACTCAATCTTCCTACCTTTGCACAATTGTGTTGCAGTTGGTGACACTTGACCCTAGAAATGGACCAGCACAGAAGCAGCGACAGGCTGCAAAACTGACCAAGAGGCACAATCAATACAGGCGCTTAGCTAAGCTGTACATGCCTTACTGCTTCGGGAAGGCACTGTAAGTTATAATCCTTGTTACAGCACAATCAATCCCCGCATGCACAATCACAGTATTTGTCGATCTCGTGTTTTGCCTCTTTGCAAGTCTGTGTTTCTCTTGGCCAACCGTTGCCTCTGCATGCAGATTTGGCTCCAGCACATGGAAAACCTGTTCTCTTTTGAGTCGACTCAAAAGCACGCATGCACAATCAATCACAGCATTTGCTGACCTCATGTGTTGCCTTGCCTCTGCATGCAGGTTTGACTCCAGCAACATGGAACACCTGTTCTCTGCAATGTCACCTGAAGAGCAGCACAGGTTCAATTTCAACGTTCGTAACATCAACTGGAACCACTACCTGTGCCATGTTCACTTCCCTGGCTTGCGCAAGTTCGTTCTGAAGGAAAAGGCCCTTAAATAAGAGGCAGGCTAATGTGGTTCAGCAGGAGTATTTTGAGACCACGCTCTTCTCTGAATGAGACTGCTCAGCACAGTCTAGAAGCCCCCCTGTGAATATATATATTTATATATTTATGTTATCTCTCAAGCTACTAAGCTACCTACTATATTTATGGATAGTCTACCTGAACCTGAACGGTTTTCCATCGTCAAACTGCCCATATTCAGAGTAAGGATGTCATACATTTGTACACACCAAAGGAGGTTCGGTTAAGGTTAAGGTTATATATTGATCGTAATCAATGTACAAATAATAATACCATAGAGCAGTCTAGAAACATGGCCGAGGTGGCCAGCATCCTAAAGGAGCACGTGGAACACACGTTATTCCTTTGTCCTAACGGACAACCGCCAGCAGACTGAGGAGACGCTCTATGCGGTAGCTGCCTACGGGGGTCGAAAAGGGTTGCCCAGGAGCCATGAGAATCTGAGGTCGGGGTGAATGGAGGGTGTGCCGCTCCTGTCGAAGAGGAGGAAGCGGAGTTTCTGTGCTTGCTTTATGCTGGAGAGTGTGCGTTGTCGCTTCTTGGTAGATTGGCGTTTGCTTCTCCACATATAGATCTTGAAGGCGATAAGGAATTGGGCTAAAATCAGTTGCAGTATCTCAAAGCTCGAGGAGGAGGAGTTGTGATATCTGTGGGCGCTGCGTGCATTCCACAGCGTCTTAACTGCAGCTCCCACAAGTAGGCTCCATGGGGGGGACTGTCCCACTCGTGACTGTATCGGGAAGAAAATGTGCTCGGCGGTGGTGTTTTGTCCAAGGTGGCGGTCAGCGACAGTTCGGAGGGCCGAGATGACATTTCCGGCGGAGGAGCATTCGAAGAAGATATGCGGCAATGTCTCGACGACAGCAGCTGGGCAACGAGAACAGATCCCACGATCGTCAAAGTATTGGAAACGTGACCCTGAGGGAGGGTGAGCGTGTAAAGTCTGAAAATGATGTCCCGCTGGCGGCTCGGCTGGTCCTTGAGAAATAAGTCCTTAAGGCCAGGGAGAGGAGGAGGAGGAAGGGTGAGGTCGCGGGTCCATCGGAGGTGATGAGTTAGCAGTTGTGCTGAAGTAGAGGAGACGGCGGATGTCGGCGATGCTGGGGGTGCCGTCCTGTAGAAGGTCTACCCTAGCTCCTAGCCCTGCCCCTATGTGAAGTGGCCCTGCGAGCCACCACTCCCTGACGTGCACCTCCACGAGGTCTTGTAATCGGAAGAGTCCGGGTGGCAGCTAGGTCGCGGGCGATACGCTTGTTTGGCGAGACATTGTGGACAGTAGCCGAGACGGAGGAGGGGGGAACGAAGGCGACAACTTGGAGGGCGAGATGAGAGATGGAATAGTGGTCGTCCGAAGGCATAAACCAGTCTCCTGGAGAGGCAGAAGAGGCGTGTGGGGTTCGGAGGGCGGCCCACCAGAGAGGTTTAATAGCCTTGACAAGGTCTGGGAGGATGCGTGCTGCGTCTTCTTGGAATTCCTCCGGGACTAGGGAGCAGAATTTTTCTACAGAGATGGGGCCGACATGAAAGTTGGTGATCCGGACAATGTGTCCGATACGAAACTGCCCTGTAAGGAGGAAGCGTTCGTGTTGGCTGGTGCCAGAAGGCCGGTTGTCGGGTTTGAGGAGTACGCGGTTGAAAGCGATAGGTTCGGTGAGGATGCATTGCATTCGTTAAAGGGGGGCCATGAATGACCAGGGGAAGGGAGAGGAGGGTTTTTAGTTCGTCCAGCGCCCGGGGGGGGATGAATGTTGGGAGATAGTGTCGTTTGAGGATGGCTTCGTGGGAGAGTAGACCGTTGTAACCCGAAAGGGAACGGGGTCAGGGTACGTGCTACTTCCTCAGAGGGGGTTGGTCCGAATCTGCGCAGGGCGCGCTGAATAGCAAGAGCTTTGATTTGTGTTGACGGGGCAATCGCCCCGACCCCGCCGTCTTGCGGGGAGTTGTACAGGAGGGCTTTGGAAATGAGGCGTTGTGCGAGGCCGTCTTGTTTGTGTTTCGAGGACGAAAGAAAGTTCCCAGCTGACACATCCATTGGTTTGATTATGTCTGGTGGGGCGGGTTGAAAGTGTCCGGGAAATGAGATGACAGAGTTCAGAAAGATTGAGGAAAGGGATTTTGCGGCACGTAACTGTGGCGTGTAAGGCTGCCAGGAACTTGGCGGTGCATTGTATGCGGGCGAGAGCCTTGTTCCAGGTGGTGGAGCCTGGGTGTAGACGCTCGACGTAAATTTCGAGGATGCGTTCTGCCTCATTGGGAGCGCAGATGGGTATAATCCCTGCGTGCACGAGGTCAGCAGGGGGGATATTGAATGGAATTATGGAGCATTTGTTCCAGTTGGGGACCTCCCCGGAGACCGATCCAAAGATGCCAAGCAGCACTACAACATAGTCCGAGCTCTGTGTCTGAGGTGAGGAAAAGGGTGACGTCATCCGCGTAGCACGCCATGAGGCGGCGTTGTGTGGAGGACAGGGCGAAACCGGGAAGGAATAGGGACATGTAGTGCTGAAAGATCTCCATGACACAAACGAAGAGCAAGGGAGCCAGTGGGCAGCCCTGTCGAACACCAGTGCGGACGGGAAAGGTGGGGCCGAGCATGTTGTTGACCGAGATGCGTGTATGCGTGTCGGAGTGCATTAGTCGGACCCAGTGGATAAAAAGGTGCGGAAAGCCCCAGGACTGATAAGGCTTGGAGGAGGAAAGGCCTATCAACGAGGTCGTAGGCTTTGCGAAAGTCCACCGTAAGAGCGAGCAGGGGGGACGAAGAGAAGGCCGCCCAGTCCCATGATATTAAGGGTATCGTTAATCGTGTCTCCTATTTTTCTGTGTTTGATGAAAGCAGTTTGGGATGGATGGATGAGCTGGGGGAGGTCGAGCTGGAGGCGGTTAGCGAGGCATAGCGCGAGTACCTTGTAGTCAGCGTTCATTAGGGTGATGGGGCGAAGATTTTCCACTAGCGATGAGTCCCCCCTCTTGGGGATAAGGACCGTTCGTCCGATCAGCATGGATGGAGGGAGGCAGGAGAGTGGGCTCTGGAGGTGAGAGTAGGGAGTGGAAGGCCGGTGCGAAACGCGGGGAAAATTGTCGAAAGAGCTCCCCGGGGAGGC